GGCAGCGAGCCTGGCCGGGCTCCGCTCTCCCTGGTGGCCAGAGTGCCGGAGGGAGGCGGCGAGCCCACCACGGCTCCGCTCTCCCGGCGGCCAGAGTGCCGGGGGAGGGCGGCGAGCCCGCCGCGGCTCCGCTCTCCCTGGCGGCCAGAGTGCCGGGGGGAGGCCGGAGAGCCCAGCCGGGGCTCCGCTCACCCCGGGGGCCAGAGCCGGAGCACCGCGCCGCCCCCCTCCAGGTGCCGCCCCAAGCACAAGCTTGGTGGGCTGGTGCCTGAGCCGGCCCTGCTTCCAACTTCAGTTTAACTTATCGGTTAACTTGTTAGTAAATTGTATAGTCAAGTGCTTGACCACACTTTGGTTCATTATGAAATGTATTAAAGAGACCAAATAACCAGTTTCAGTCAGGTTTATTCCTAAAAGCCAATAATAATATAGTACAGAAAAAAGGTTCAATATAACACCAGTCTTTGGGAAGCTGTCTCGTGCAGCATTGTTACATTCACCTTACACACAACGTGTGCTCCCACAGTTACACTCCTAAAGCTATCCTTTTTATACCCATCCCGTTTACAAATAAAAAGGTACTGTGTGCATCATCTGAAACTAGATTTAAGCCATCAGCTTAGGGCCCCAGAATAGCTAGGGACGGCCCTGTTCCTCCTTTAATATCATTCATTTTGTTTTGAGAAGATTTTCTTAGTTTCTAATGAAACTAATTTTACTGAAGATCTGAGACTATCTGGGGAAATTCATGCAGTCTGTCATCTAATTCCATGTAAACCCTTCATATCTGAAAGTATAGTACATACAACAATTCACTGGCAAAAAAAATCAAGCAACGAACAACAGTACAAAAATGCGGTAGCTTATATTCTTCTAGGTCACTAGACATTTCAAGAAATGGATCCAAGTTTTAACACAAATATATGTCCTGAAATAATTCCAAGTAGAGAAGCACAGAATACTTCTTAAAGTCAAATATAAGCTCTTTGGGGCTAGGTCTTCCTAGTGTTTGTACAGATCCTTGCACAATTTAACTCTGACTTAGAATGGGGTGTCTCTGGAGTACAACCATAGAAAAATAAATAATAAATGTTAGCCAAGCAAAAGAATGCACTGCCAAGCATGTTAGTTAGTCATACAGGTGACCTCTTGTGGCCAATCAGAACAATGTCAAGTCTGTCTTGTATTTCCTAGGAGACTAATCCATCAATGTATCCTTCTGCATGGGGTTGATCTACTTATTTGGATTTTATCAGACTCAGTACATGAAGGAAAACTGCTTTCTATTTGAACTATCATTGTTTAGCACAAAAAGCAGAAACTGATGATTTTGTTTTAAACTTTGATATCCTATATACCTGCAAAGCCCCTTTAAAAATTACAGATATTTGATTCTAACACACTACAGCATGTGTCTCTTCCATCAAGTGAAGCAAAGGCAATATGACGGGTGGTTTAAAATTCACACACAATTAGCTGTTTCTCTCCACAGGATTTGTCATTCCACTTTCCGCTTGAATAGACTTCTACACAGTCCTCAATGCCTTTGTCATTATTTGGTTCTCCTGTTTGCCAGTTGGAATACACAATGTTTTCTCCATTTAGATACTTGAAACGACCCTCTGTCTGAATATCATTTATCCCAAGAAACACTGGTTTGTTGTACAAAACAACTATCTGCTGGATGGCAGCATTCTCGGCGGCATTCCGAGGAGAAGCAAGCTGGCCTCCAGCTTGGGAACACCTTTGTTTCAGACTGTCAAAGTTGCCTTCATAGCCACTGGTCATGAATATCTTTTCACCGACAATTCTGCCATTCGGGAACATTATAACTAGAAAACAAAGAGATATCTCCACATTAGGCCTCTAGCGAAGTATGATTTGGTGAAGTCAACGGATTTATGGGGCTAGGTGGCAGAAATCAGTTAAAGTCCATTGATTTCAATGGAGTTATATCACTTTACACCAGCTGATGATCTGAACCATAGAGTCCATCACTAAAGTATAGTGATCCTTATTGCTACATGCTAAATTACAGACGAAACCCCCTTTTATCCCAACGCCAAGCCCACAGATTCTATCCCTAATGGCCTGATCCTAGAACCACTGAAATATTCAAAGAGAGGCATTTTCTGTGAGAGTGCCAAGATTTTGGAATTCACTCCTTACCTCTTGGCCTGAATTAGCTTCTATCTGTTCTGATCTTTAGGGCTTGCTGCAAATCCCAATCTCTTTTTCCAGCACAGCTCACTGTGTGTTATAACCAGAAGATCTCCACCCACCCATCTCTCCCTTAAGATCCCATTAACATCTGAATATTTCAGCATCTCACCCTGATGTCTTTATGTTTCCTTTTATATCTTCATGTTTCTATCAGAACTGGAACTTTGCCACAATATGGTGACAAAGGCTATTCCTTCTGGATTTCTGGCAGAACCAACATTGGAAATACTAAAATGTGACAATGAAAAATTATTCTCACAGTATTTCCAGACAGGACCAAAATGTGACCCGGTTTGCCAGCACCAGAATTTCTCAAAGCCTGCTCTGGAAATCTGAGATTTCCAATCCAGCTTTTACAGACTTGAGATATTTGGCTACACGTTCAGGTTTTAGGTGTTTATCCAAACTGAACTCTGAGCCTTTGGAGGTTTCCCCATCACTATCCTGGGATGTGTTCATTACAAGATATATTAAGAGCATCTGTTAAATACGCTGCCTATGTTTTTAACTAGTCACATATAGCTAGGAGAGCATCCTACATTAAAAGACCACACAAAAAAGTAAGTCAGCATAATAAGGGCTCTCAGTAGCTCTTCAGAAGATAGGAAGAAAGCATTGAAAACTTTTACAGCCTGTAATTTAGCATCTTCTCTGCAGAGCTGAAAGTACACAGACATTCATCTGGGCCAGCGGTGCTCTGTGAAGCTTTGTATGCACTTGATGATGCACAGTCTTAGGCATCAGTCTAAATCAAGCCTATGGCACATATTAGAACATCAGACTGCTATAATTTGCCTTGGACAGTGTTCTGACATTCAGCTTTCATTTATTAAATGTAACATCTTGATTGCTCTTGCTGCTAGAATGGCATTATCACAAATTAATATCACTTCAGGACAGTACCACATGATGCCAAACTCCCGCTTCCACCATGTCAACCCACAAGCTTTGCATTCATTGGTGAAAGGACTGAAAATGCACTGGTGAAGAAGTCCCTCTATGACTCCCCCCTCTTTAAACCTGGCATAAGGCAACAATACATCGATTTAATTTTCCAGACAAATCTTATCTCACAGCTCTTTTAATAATCTCCCCACACCCTTGCGAGCCCAGAGGACAGTTTTTCTCTTTCTCAAATATTTTTTGCTGGGTGGGCCAGATGTTAGTACAGAATTTATCTTGTGGACAACGATTCTCCCATTTGTAATGGCTCACACTGCCTCTCTGCCATTATTAGTCACCTGGGCCTCCTCCACTCCTATGTGACAGCATAAAATTCCTGCACCAGCTACAGCAATTGCTAATATTAGGCAAGTGTTTTATGCCCATTTTGCTGTTCTGAATGTGATTTAGCAGCTGGAAATAAAAAGGAGAAGCCAGTACCATGTGATGAATCAACTCTCTACGAACCAGCAGCAGCTGCTGCATGGACTTCTGTTTCAGACATGGAGAGTACCTACCTGTAACTGGAGGTTCTTCAAGAGGTGTGGTTCCTATCTGTATTCCATAGGTGGGTACGCACGTCCACCATGAATCTGAGACCGGAAAAATCTTGCAAGAAGTGTCCGTTGTTACCGTTGTGCCCTGGAGTTCTTTGTATTCAGTAGCAAGGGTTTAAGGGGAGGTGTGGACTGATTGCTTCTCCACTTTCTCCTCTACTGAGAATCCAGTCATGATCCAAAAGAGAGGGGAAAGAGGGCAGGTAGTGGAACACAATGATCATTTGGTCAGTCATTCAAGGGTGGCCTGGTAAGTACTGAGAGTACAAGATTGAGGTCCCACAGTGGTGTCAGATTCACTACCTCGGAGGGTCCTAGTGAGACTCTTCAGGAATCTAGTTGTTATTGGGTGAGTAAAAACAGAGTAGCTCTCTCCCCAAGGGTGGAAGATATGACTGCTGCTAGGTGGGCTCGCAGATAGCTAATGGAAAAGACACGATGTCTTGAGAGTGCGGAGGTAGTTAAAAAAGCAGGAACACCTACTGTCTCTGGCCACAACTAGTTTTGTTCTGCCAAGGTAGCGATCCCTCCATTTAGCTAGAGAACATTTCTGATGGAGCCTTTTCAATTGTGATTAAGAACAGTTTGAAAAGCCTCCGAAGAACAATACTCTAGGTCCGTCACCCATACAAATACGAGGCCACGAGGTGAAGAGAGGCCAAGCTGGGATGGCTGATCCCACCATTCTCCTGAGTTAGCAGATCTGGGAAGGGCTGAATTCTAAGGAAAGGATGGAGGTCCAGAAACCAGAATTACCTGGGTCAGCTGGGTACCAGCAAGTGCTGACCGTGCAGTTTATTAGTCAGAGCTCAAGTTGGTACAGACAGATCCTTGCTTACTCTTCTGGTCAGTATGTTCAGATGGGCTTAAGTCTTTAGGACCTGAGTAGAGGGACTCACCTGAGTTAGAAGGAGTCAGGGAGGGATTTCTTCCTGTGGGACCAGATCTGGAAGGGGATCTGGTCCAGTGTTAGTGAGAGTGCCCCTTATTCTCCCGGAAGGACCTAGATAATGCATCCTTGGACTTAAGAGTTTTGGCCTTTGTTCTGGAGCTCATGATTAGAGAGGAACTGCTCATGGATTGAGGACAACGTACGGGGGGCGGGGGAGAGGAAGGAGGTCTGCCTGGTTCTGACTAGGGTCTCATGGCTTTCCTCCATGAGGTACTTCCTCAGTCAAAACTCTCATCTATCTCAGGCTCAGGGAAAGAAGGAGCTACAGATACTGCGCTTGATGGAGATGAGTGCCCCTAAGGCAGTATGAGCCACCAATGTGATGCAGCCTTGAAAAAGGCTAATGCAGTTCTAGGATGCATCAGGCAAGGTATTTCCAATAGGGACAGGCAAGTGTAGTACCGTTATACAAGGCATTGGTTAGACCTCATCTGGAATACTGTGTGCAGTTCTGGTCTCCCATGGTTAAGAAAGATGAATTCATACTGGAAAAGGTGCAAAGACGGGTTAGTTGGATGATCAGATGAATGGAAAACCTTTCTTAGGAGAGGAGAATCAAAGAGTTTGGCTTGTTTAGCCAAACCAAACAATGGCTGAGGGGAGATACGATGGCGCTCTATAAATACATCAGGGATAAATACCAGGGAATGAGAGGAGTTATTTAAGATAAGCACCAATGTGGACACAAGAACAAATGGATATAAACTAGCCATCAACAAGGTAAGGTGTGAAATTAGACGAAGGTTTCTAAGCATCAGAGAAGTGAAGTTCTGGAACAGCCTTCCCAGGGGAGCAGTGGAGCCAAAAAAACTAACTGATTCAAAACTGAGCTTGATAAGTTTATGGAGGGGATGGTATGCTGAGACTGCCTATAATGGCATATAGATGATCTGCAACTGCTAGCAGAAAATATCTCCAATGGCTGGTGATGGGAGACTAGAAGGGGAGAGTTCTGAGTAACTATAGAGAATTCTTTCCAAGGTGTCTGGCTCAGTGGGTCTAACTGATCCTCATATTTGGGGGTTGGAACGGAATTTCTCCCCGGGTCAGATTGGCACAGACCCTGGGGTTTCTCTCCCTTCCTCTGCAGCCTAGGGCATGGGTCACTTACAGGTTTAAACTAGAGTAAGTGGCGGATTCACTGTAACTTGAAGTCTTTAAATCATGATTTGACGACTTCAGTAACTCAGCCAGATGTTAGGGGTCTATTTCAAAAATGGGTGAGTTTCCGTGGCCTGCAATGTGCAGGAGGTCAGACTAGATGATCCTGATGATCCCTTTTGGCCTTAAAGGCTATGAATAGGGTCCTACCAAATTCAGAGTCATGAAAAATGCAGCACAGACTGTGAAATCTCCCCCCGTGAAATCTGGTGTTTTGTGTGCTTTTACCGTATTCTATACTTTTTCTGTATACTATACAGATTTCACAGGGGAGACCAGCGTTTGTCAAATTGGGGTTCCTAACCCAAAACGGAGTTGCAGGGGGGGTGACCAGGTTAATTTAGGAGGGGTTGTAGCATTGCTACCCTTACTTCTGCGCTGTCTTCAGAGCTGGGTGGCTAGAGAGTGGCGGCTGGTGACCGGGCGCCCAGCTCTGAAGGCAGCACCCTGCCAGCAGCAGCACAGAAGCAAGGATGGCAATACCATACCATGTCATCCTTACTTCAGCACTGCTGCCTTCAGAGCTGGGTGGTCGGAGAGTGACAGCTGCTGACTGGTGCCCAGCTCTGCAGGCAGCAGTGCAGAAGGGTGGCAATACCATACCAGGCCATCCTTATTTCTGTGCTGCTGCTGCTGGTGGGCTCCCAGACAGCAGCCACTGCTCTCCAGCTGCCCAGCTCTGAAGGCAGCGCCGCCGCCTGCAGCAGCACAGAAGTAAGGGTAACAGTATCGCAACCCCGCCCCCCCCACATCCCCATGGCTGCCCAGAGGATTCAGTGGGCCTGGGACAAAGCAATTTTGGGAGCCCCTTCCTTAAAAAAAAGTTGCAATACTATAGAATACTATATTCTCGTTGGGGCCCCTGCGGGGCCTGGGGCAAATTGGGCCACTTGCCCCCCCCCCTCTGGGCAGCCCTGCCCCCCCTCCCCCAATAACCTTGTGACCGCTCCCACAACTCCTTTTTGGGTTAGGACCCCTACAACACCTTGAACTTTCAGAGTTAAATACCTGAAATCATGAGATTTATGATTTTTTAAATGCTATGACTGTGAAATTGACCAAAATGGACTGTGAATTTGGTAGAGCCCTATCTATGAGTCAAGGCAGCACTGGTGCTCATCACTGACCAAGAAGGAGAACACGCAGGATAGACACTTGTTAAACTCCAGAACTCTAGGCATGGCCCTTCTCCCAAGGGGGAGAAACAGGAAGGGTCCCAAAGGCAGGGAAAACTAATCTACACTAACTATAAAGAGACTATTTAAAATGCCAGACTAACAACTATCTACAATTATATTTACAGACTGTGCAAAGATATCATCAGACACAGAGGACTCCAACTCTGGCCATGCAGTGGTAAGAAGGAACTGGAGAGGCAGGTCAGTCTGAATTGCCCCTTATAGTCTTGGTATGGAGCACAAGGGGCTCCAGAGCACAGACACAGCTGAACAGACATTACTGACAAGATTTTCAGGTCTCAGGCGCATGATGCACATCTGAGGTGTGGACTACACATAGGGCTCAGCACTCGAAGAAAAACTCCTAGTATAAATGGTCTCAGGCTAGCCAAACACACACTGGTGGATACAATTAGCAAACACATGATTTGCAGAGGATTCTAGTTTTTGGAGTTAATTACTAGAGCTGGACAGAGAAAGGTTTCCCCAGAGGATTTCATTAATTTAAATGTTGGCTTCACTCTGATTCAGAACAAAACCTCAAAATTTCCAAATTCTCCCCAAAGGGGAATGGAGGCCAGGCTCAGGAGGTAGTCAGCCTGGTGGGCTGCCCCTGAGCTGTGGACGCAGGAAGCCCTACGCAGCACAGCTCCAGGGCAGCCCACCATGGGAATCCAGGTGGCCGAGGAGTCAGGAGCTTGGCACTCAGGACCCCAAGTGCTTCCAAGCTCCCGACTCCCTGTGACTCCACCACGGGGGTTGCTGTGGAGCCAGGTAGGTGAGCTGGCAGGAAACTAGGCAGGTTTGGTTCTATCAGAACTTCATTGAAAAGTAACAAGTTTTTGATTTCAATGAATGAAAAAAGTCCAATGAAAGAAGGTTTCACTGGAATATTTCAGACTAACTCTATTAATTATCTTGGCACTAGGCCTGGCCTATATACAAAGATGCACCAGTTTAACTAAAGGTGTATTTTTAAACCAGTTTAGTTAAATGAGCACAAAGTCCTGTGTAGACACTCTTCATTTGATTTAAAGCTGGCTTAGTCAGCTCTATTTGATTCCTTGATGATTTAAACTTAAATTGATATAATCCAGTGTATAATCAATTTGAGAGTGTTCTAGGGTGACCAGATGTCCTGATTTTATAGGGACAGTCCTGATTTTGGGGTCTTTTTCTTATATGGGCTCCTATTACCCCCCCACCCCCGTCCCTATTTTTCACATTTGCTGTCTGGTCACCCTAGAGTGTTCACACAGGAGTTTTCACCAGTTTAACTAAGTCAAATCCAGTTTAATTAAAGTGGCACAACTTTTATGCGAAGAACAGCTCTTTTCCACATAGGGCCTGATCTTGTGAGGAGACCAGTGCTTACGGAGAGATGCTCAGTGTCTGTAACTGGATTCAGTGAGATCTGAGGGTACTTGGGATCACCCCAGAGAATTCATCTCTCATTGGATTGGGCCTTTGTATTGTCTTTGGGGCAGAGAATGTGCTCTGCTCTATATTTTATAAAGCATCACATAAGTCTGAGGCATTGTATAATTCATTAATAATGAAAATGAACAAAACCACTGTTTAATGCATCAGACTACAAATCAGAAGGCTTAAAAGAGATCAGAGGTAAAATTATGTTGAAAGGCAGCATTCTACTACAGCATCATCTTACCTTGTTTGTACTTGGAGAAGCTGCTTTGCAGAGCTCTCAGCTGCCCTTCCAAAGTACTTACTTGTCTTTTAAGGAGATTGATCTCTGAATGAAGAAAGTTGCATTAATCTTAATGTTAAAAGAAATAAGTAATACAGACTTATAACAGCAGACCTATAGTTTCTACTCTAGATGTCTTGGTTATGATCTAAATCTCTATATGTCCAGGTTATAGATCTAAACCTGGATTGCCTAGCTTTTTTATGGGATAAGAATTACACAGGATGTGTGGATGTGTCTATCCATTACCTGAAGGAAAGATTGCATCATTTCTACCTACTCCTTCTCTTTAAGGACAGGCCTGGACTAAACATCGTTACACTATTCACACTTGTAGTGCTTGGGGACCAAAGTCTGTAGATATATCACTTTCTGAGATCTGGTCTAATAAATACGTTATTCAGTGAATAACGTAACTGAAGTCGACGTAGTTAGATTCACTTACCGCGGTGGCTACACAGCATTGTGTCGATGGGAGAGCATCTCCCGTCGACTTCCTTCACGCTTCTCAGGGAGGTGGAGTACACAAATCGATGGGAGAGTACTCTCCCATTGATTTAGCATGTCTTCACCAGACCCGCTGAATTGACACTCACTGCATCGATTCTTGCAGCAGTACCGATCTACCGGTAAGTGTAGACATGGCCTGAGTGCCCAGACTGGTCATCCTGGGCTACATAATGCTAAAAATGCTTTCCCCCACTGCTCCTATATCATTGAGATGTGTCATTTTACATTCGGTAAACAATTAGGTGGAGTTGGAGGAGGGTGTTTTGAACTTGTAGATGGGCGGAGTGGGGGGCACTTCTAAATGGTACCTTAGGGACGGTTCACAAATTGTTACGAGCTTGGACATGCTGGTTTTACTTTGTCTACATATGAGGTATTATCTAGACCTCAATCTATTTATCTAGATAACATACATACACACATACAAACACTCTGTAACAGACAATCTGCATCCTGGGATCATTTTGATTCTCTCATAACTCTCAGCATGATCTCATTTTAGCAAGCTACCAAAAGTGATATCCAACGTCCACCCTTGGGTTAATGTCTGTGTTAGAGGGGTAGAAAATAATGGATAGTTAAGCTCTAGTGAAGCGTTTTATCATTTGGTCTAAAGTAAGAAGCTCCTTGCCCCTCCCCCTTCAATCTAGGGATTAAAATAATCTACAGTGAGCTATATCCACAAATATACTGGAGTCCTCATGAAAATTTCAAGGTATTTTTTCTCGATCAGAAAAGAGCCAGAAAGGAAGCAGTACAATTTTTAAAATTATTTTTGAAAATATAAATTCATCATACATAGGAAGATTTTGTGATTACTAGAATGGGTTTACTACTCTGTGATTTTTATGATTTGAAATCTTCGCTCCATTATGTAAACAGGAGTTTTGTCATTGACTTCAGTGGGACCAGGATTCTATCCATGAAACAGATGGCTGCTATATAATTTATAAAATACTACTGATTAATCTTATAGTGATATTTGATCTTTATATTTAGGTAATGTCTTGCATTTTGCAGGTGAACCAGTTTTACATAATGTAAATTATGCACATGTAAATTGAATATACATTGGTAGAGAGAGAATCTCTCCTCATACATTTTTCCCCAGATGGGGCTTACTTGAGCCCACTTGTGGATGTGGGGCAGAAAGTGGTCCAAAATTCATTAGCACACACCAACAGAGAAAACGCTTAAGTCCCTTCCCCAGCAAACAAACAAACCCCATTGCTTTACTTACCTGATAGTCCACTGTCTCCCTTTGTTCCTTTTTCACCTACTGAACCTTTATCACCTTTTAGCCCAGGAGAACCAATTTGCCCTTTGGGGCCCTGTAAACCTGAGCTTCCTTGTAACCCTATTGTTAGATCAAGTGAAACAGATACAAGAAGAACAAGTTAATCTGCAGATAGTTTTCTAATTTCATATATAAAATAATGGGCATTTACACACCACCTTTCCTCTAAAAATCTCATAATATTTTACCAACAGTCAATCAATTTAGCCTTGATGCTGTCTTTGAACTAAGCAAATAAAGTAACTGAGATCCAGAGAGGTCAACCCTATTGGCCAAGGTCACTTAGTGAAACAGTAGCAGGGCTAGGTATAGAACCCAGGTATCCTGACATGCAGTACACTGCTCTAATAAATGGATAACTGTGCTCTCACATATTTTTATTTATTTGAACACGGGCTGAGATCCAGGGATCCCTGAGTTCTAATAAAAGCTCTAATGCTAATCTTGGACAAATTACAACTTCCACAGGTTTTGCCCCAGTTTCTTCATTTGTAAAATAGGGATAATCACACACCTTCAGAAGTGATTCATAGATTCTAGGACTGCAAGGGAACTC